GTCATTGAGAATGGGGTCTCGCCCGTTGCGGTCCGGCAAGTTGTTCTGATGGCCCAGAGGACGTGGGGGAGTTCGTCAACCCAAGCGCCTTTTGAGGCATCCAATTTTCTTTTCAGGGTGTACTTGATAGTCTTGTTCACTGCTTCGACCTGTCCATTTGCCTGAGGGTGATGTGGAGTCGAGAAGTACTGCCGCCCATTATCAGAGACAATGGAGTGAGGGATGCTGAACCTGCAAATGACGTTCTTCCAAACGAACTTCGTAGTGTTGGCCTCGGTGATTCGGGCAAGGGGTTCTTCCTCGACCCACTTAGTGAAGTAGTCGATGGCGACAATGGCAAAAGTTGCGCTTCCCCTACCCTTTGGTAGCGGACCAATGAAGTCGATGCCCCACTTGGCGAATGGCCAAGGGCTGGTCACTATAGAGAGGCTCTGCGCAGGCTGTCTTTGTACGTTCGAGAAGCGCTGGCATTTGTCACATTTCTGGACAAATTGGCAAGCATCCCTTTTCAGGGTTGGCCAGAAGTAGCCCTGACGGAGAACCTTGTGTGCCAGAGCCGTCCCTCCGGAGTGATTTCCGCAGATCCCTTCATGTATTTCTCTGAGTACGTAGGTGGCCTCTTTGCCGCCTACACATCGAAGAAGGGGAGAGGCAAAGCCCCTCTTGTAAAGGGTTCCTTCTTGAAGGACGAAGTGTGCAGCCCTTCTTCTTAACTTCCTTGCTTCACTTCTGGAAGCAGGCAGCGTTTGCTCTTTTAGATATGCAATTATGGGATGCATCCACAATGGGGTGCCTTCTATCCATAGTAACTCTTCACCCTCGAAGGTGGAGGGCTTTGATAAGTGCTCAATGGGGACGATGTTCAGAAGCTCTGAGTTCACGCTGCTGGCCAACTTTGAGAGAGCATCTGCATGGGCATTCTCTAGACGGGGGACTTGAGTCAGTTCGAACTTTTCGAAATGGGGAATTATGTCCAGAACCAGCTTCAAGTATGCGCGCATGTTATCATCTTTGGCCGCGAAATCCCCATTCACCTGATTCACTACGAGCTGAGAATCACTGCTTGCCAGAAGCTTCCTGACCTGCATTTCCTTGGCGAGCCTTAGTCCTGCCAGAAGGGCCTCATATTCGGCTGCGTTGTTCGAGGCTCCGAAGCTGAATCTTACCGCACAATTCAACAAATGACCTTCCGGGCTTTCCAGCACGATTCTCGCCCCTGCGCCTGCCTCTCCTGAAGACCCATCTACAAACAATTTCCATGCGGGGGGCTCGGCTGGCTCCATCAGGGCCTCCATCTCTGGGGCTTTGGTAAATTCGACCATGAAATCGGCAAGGGCCTGGCCCTTGATAGCGTGTCTAGGTCGGAATGTGAGATCGAACTCGCTGAGCTCGATAGCCCATTTCAGTAGGCGTCCCGACGCGTCCGTCTTCTGCATTACTTGCCTTAAGGGGAAATTGGTGAGGACTTGTATTGAGTGAGCTTGGAAATATGGCCTCAGCTTTCTCGAAGCTGTAATAAGTGCGAGTGCCAGTTTTTCCATGTCGGAGTAGCGTGTTTCAGCTGGGAGAAGTGCTTTGCTGATGTAATATACTGGCAATTGACGCCCATTTTCTTCCCTGGTTAGGACCGCGCTGACTGCGACATCTGACACTGCTAGATACAGCAACAGAGATTCATCCGGATGGGGTTTCGATAGGGGGGGCGATTCACCTAGGTGTTTCTTCAGAGACTTGAAGGCCTCTTGGCATTCCGAAGTCCACTGAAATCTCTTTCCTTGCTTCAATACTTTGAAGAAAGGCAAGCTTTTATCAGTAGCTCTGGAGATGAAGCGGCTGAGGGCGGCTATCCGGCCATTGAGACTTTGGACCTCCTTTGGTTTCTGAGGTGAACTCATTTCTATTATAGCCGCCACCTTCGCAGGGTTTGCCTCAATTCCTCTCTGATTGACAATGTATCCCAAGAACTGGCCCGATGCCACTCCGAAAGTGCACTTGAGGGGATTCAACTTCATGTTATACCTTCTGAGTATCTGGAAGGTTTGGTCAATGTGACTCACGTGTTCGCCCGCCTGGAGGCTTTTGACCAACATGTCGTCCACATAGACCTCCATGGTTTTGCCAATGAGTTTGGCAAACATCATGTTGACTAACCTCTGATATGTGGCCCCGGCATTTTTCAATCCGAAGGGCATGACTTTGTAGCAATACAGCCCCCTGTCCGTGATGAATGATGTAGCTTCCTCATCAGGTCGGAACATGGGTATTTGGTTGTACCTTGAGTACGCATCCATGAAGCTAAGTAGTTCATGCCCAGCAGTGGAGTCGACCAGTTGATCAATTCTTGGAAGCGGGAAGCTATCCTTGGGGCACGCCTTATTCAGGTTTGTGAAGTCCACACAGACCCTCCATTTCTCGCTAGACTTTTTCACTAGAACCGGGTTGGATATCCACCTCGGGTATATGGCCTCCCTGATGAAACCACTGCGATCAAGTTTACTTACTTCGTCTTTCAGCGCCTCGTACCGTTCCGGATTCAGCGCGCGCCTCTTCTGTCTATGGGGGGCATAGGAGGGGTTGATGTTAAGGTGATGACAACTGATCTTGGGATCTATTCCCACCATATCCTCATGTTTCCATGCGAAGACATCTAGGTTTTCTTTCAGGAATCGTATCATCTCAATTTTTGCTTCAGGCGATAATGACTTCCCTATGCGCAAGACTTGGTTGGGGTCTTCTGGATTGACTGGAAAGGTTTCCAGTTCTTCCATTGGGGTCGCGTTTGGTTCATAATCAATTATTCGGGGATCTAATTCGTCAAGAGGGTGTCCTTGTTCAGGGGCCTCTTCCATTATGACATCTTCCTCTTGTTCAAAGGTATGCCCTTGTTTAGGGGCGTCGAGCATCTCCACGTCCGTACCGACTTCAGCGGGTACTTCTGCCAGAATTACATTGACAGTCCGGGGCTCCGATTTGCGTAGCGAGTTCAGGTAGCATGCCCTGGAGCTCATCTGATCGCCCCGAACCGTTGCAATCCCATGTTCGGTTGGGAATTTCATGCACAGATAGTGAATGGACGTTACAGCCCAAAGATCTTTTAGAGCCGGTCTGCCCAACACCCCATGATAAGCCGACCTATGATCTACCACCAGAAACTCTATGAAATACTGGGCGACCAAGGGGGCCGAACCCATTTCCACAGGCAGGATAATCCGCCCTCGTGGGATGATGCTGTCCCCAGTGAATCCGAACAATGGGTCGGTCATGGGGATTAACCCATGTTCAATTTGCATTTTGTCAAAAGTGGAGCCAAACAATATGTTCACGGAGCTACCGTTGTCAACGAGCATGCGTTTTAATCCGTTTCTAGCCACTACGGCCCTTACAACCAAAGCATCGCAATGGGGATGGTGAACTCCCTCTGCGTCTTCCTGCGAGAAGGTGATTGGGGCCATCTTGTTTGCTGTTTTTGATTTGTCGACAATGTAGGTGATCATCGGGCGATCCTTAGCTTCTCTTGTATAATTTCTCTGGGCGTTCCTGGTGTTTCCACCGACGTGGGGTCCCCCGATGATGGTATCGATTTCCCTGATGACCTGGCTTCCAGCGAATTGAGCTTGGTTCTCTTGCCTGGATTGGCCTCGGTTTCCTTGATTCTCTTCTGCTAGGAAGTTGTTCCTGGTGGCTCCTTCCTTCCCTCCTCGGGGAGGTGGATCTGCGGGGGTGCTCATTTCTGCTGGAAGTGAGGGGGTTGCTTCGATCAGGGCGCCGGTTGGCATCCCGACACTCACTGGTGTCATGCCCATATAGTTGATGGAAAGTACAAAATCTTGCTCCTGGCAAGGGCCTGTTTGGCCTCTTCTTCTTCTTCTTGTTGTCAGTTCTTCCGGATGGTGCTGCCTCAGCGGGTGCGCTATCATATGCTAATACCGGCACTGCGTTCAATGTGGCGGAAGCTAGGGCCTGTCCGGATGTGGGAGCTATGGTATGCCCTGCTTGGCTCCATTGCTGAGTAACAAGGTGCGCTGCGGGGCCTCGACCTACCTGCCTCTGTGGGGGAGGGAGTCCCTGCGCGGCACGGTTACGATGATCAATCATTTCTTCACTAATTATTTTCACCCTCATCATCTCCACCAGCTCGTCGTACGTGGAAGGATTCTTGCTGCGCACGTCCCTCCAAAACAAAGTGTTCATGTTGAGACCACCTTTCAGGGCCGAAAGGGCTTCCCTGTCAGTGACCTGTTCGCAGTAAGTAATCTCGTCTGTAAACCTGGCGAGATAGCTTTTCAGCGTCTCTCCAGGGGCCTGCCTCATGTCTTGCAGGCGTTGGATCGGCGCCTCTCCTTCCCTGCGTGAGAGGTACTGGTTCAAAAATGCTTTCTTCAAATCCGGCCAACTTCTGATGCTTAAGGGAGGAAGCCTGCTGTACCACACCTCGGCGGCTCCGCCTAGTGTTAAATGGAAGGCTCTGCACTTTAGAGCAGGTGAGGCTCCCCTAAGACTCATTTGCGTCATGTACTTTGTGAGGTGCTTCTCCGGGTCCCCTTTTTCCTCGTACTTGGGGATCTTTGGGGGCATGAAATTAGTTGGCATTGGGAAGCTTCGGATTTCCCTTGAGAAAGGGAGGTTATCGTCATCGTCGTCAATCTCATAAGACCGGCAGGACCCCTCTGATCCTCGGTCATCTTGGACGTCTTGGGGTGGAGGAGGTGCTTTTCCCCGGCTCTCCCAATCGACTAAGTTTCTCCTCTCCTTCCTGTTTCTAGGAGGAGGGACACACTCCTCTTCGTTGCCTGACCGGGCCGACCCTCTTGAAGGGCGGATCCTATTGCTAGGATCGTTCCCTATCCGGTCGAAGACGCTTACTGACCTCTGGTCATCATGTTCTTGAGGAAAGTTGTCCCCCAAGAGTGGTTCTGATGGGTGGCTCTCCTGCATATAAGATGTCGCTTCGGTGTTATCCTCTCTTTCGAGAGGATGTTCGGTGTGCCGGCTCATGTGGCCTCGAGAATGAGACAAAGGGATTTCCCGTACCGGATACGATCCTTGGGGCATCTGGGGTCCCTGAGCTTGCATGAGAAGTTCCCGCATCGCCATATTCTGAGCTGCTATGTCTCTCATGCCTGTAGCTATCTGGGCCATTCCTTCGGTGAGTACGGCTGTTCTTTCACCTCGTCGACGCCGGTGATGCGGTCTCTGATGAGTAACATTGTTGTGAAGTATTTCCTCTTCAGAGGCCTCTCTGATGGGGTTGTCCTCACGGCTGTAGCTCATCCTCCCTCTTCTTTCAAGGATAGTAAGAACTTGGATTGTAACTCGACTTTTATTATTTTTCAAGAATGCCTCCCTTTTAAGGGTCAGTCGCCGGTTTTCCGGTGGCTTCTCCGACGGGGAATGTAGGACTTTGAATGGGGAATGACGTTTCCCACAGACGGCACCAAACTGTGACCTCTAAAAATGGCTCTTCCACGTGGCCAACTTGTAGCTACTCCACGTATTCCTCCCTACGAAATGAACAAACTGTCAGGCACACACGGCCGGAACCAACGGGGGTGGCGGCCGCATACACTCCGACGGTCAAGTCAGGTTTGGGTGGTCGGAACAGTGTCCAGGGACCACACAAATCAATCAGTCAATAAAGGGGGAGGAGGATATATAAACTTGTTATGGAGTGCTATCTATTGAGAGTTTCATTACCTTTGCCTCTGGCCAATCTTTGGGTATTTATAGGTGGTATGAACCGTGGGATGTGGAACACGTGTATACATCTGACGGTATGAAGCGTCTGCTCATAGGCGTCAATCAGCCGCGCTTGTAGAGTGGGCGGACAGTTTGTTTCCCCCGAGTTGAATTGACATAAAGTTGATAAGTCACATCAAATAGCTTTATGGGGGACGTCAAATCAATTTAAACCTTATATGCAGAGCAAATCTTAAATTGGCAGCGAATCTTCTAACGGGGGTCCACTTGAACCCGACCTCGGAGACGGGACACTTCGGCAGATCAGTGACAGGAATCGGTGTACCACTTTGGAGAAGCTTCGGGAGGTCGGAGTGGTAAGAAGCTTCGGGAGTAAGAAGCTTCGGGAGGTCGGGGTGGTCTATTTGATTTCACCGGCTTCGGAGTGGCGAGATGACACTTCGATACCTCGGTACCGAGGCTCATAAAAATGAGGCGTAACAAATACTACAATTATTTGAACTTTATACATGTTCTTCAAATTTTCAACAAAATCGTATTGCTCAAAATCATAAATACTACAATTACTTAGTAATCAATTCTTACAATTAAATTAGACACGTACAATGGCTTAAATAAACCTTATAAATCTTGTCAACTCTTTATAGGATTCCAAATCAATCTTTACTTCTTCATCCCAATCATCTTTCGTGTCATCTGATGAAAATCTCGGGTTCCTTTATTTCAACTCGAGAATTTTTATTACCTCTTGAAAATGGAAGATAATATTGTAAACCTTGTCCCCCCTCTCCCCCCCCCCCCTCCTTGTCATCATCATCATTATCCTCACAACCATCAACAATCCTAATTTTACATTACTAACATCAAAATAAAGTTTCTAATTTATCCTTCATCCTCTTTTTGTTCATCAATTTTGCATTAAATTGGACATAAACTAGATTGTTCATCTTTTTGGCATCTGGTCATTCCTTTTCTTGGTGTACTTACATAAAAAAAAAATAGAGAAAAGTTGAAATATTTTTGTATGCTAATTTAAATTTTAGATGGTTCACTTCTTGGGTTTTCCTAAGCTAATTTGGACACAATTTTTAACGCAAATATATGCGCATTTTGAAGTTTAAGCACGCATGTCAGATCAATGAAATGGATTAACCGCATTATCACATGCATACTCTGTATGCGAAACGCTATGAGCATATGTGCATATACCAAAGCAAATGTGTGCACTTTAAAACATTGGGCATATGCATTCAACTTGATGGGCATGTCACATCTATGTGATTCATGCATTATTACGCGTTAAACTTGAAATAATTGGAGAAATTTCGTCATAGTTATATTGACATGATTAGTATTTTTTCCATATATTCATGCTATGTTTGACATCATGCATAAAATTAGAGAATGTAGTACTATATAAATAGTATTGATATTTGTTGTCAATTTTATATCATGTAGGTATATGGATTGTAACAAGTAATAAAGTGGATTTAAAAGTTCGATTATCATTCTCACGATTGCTACTATCTAATCGTTGGTTTAATTATTCCCAACTTCAATTAGATTGAGAATAAATATTTGTAGTTATATTTCTTTTTGTGATTTTTTATTTAAAATAAAACGAAAATAATAAGAGTTGATTTTTCTAATGATGGGTGGGAAAATTGCGGCAGCGGTCCCTAACGTTTCACTTTTTTATAGATTTTATCCTAACCTTCAATTTGTGTCATTCACAGTCTCAAACCTTCTAAAAATATGCAATTGAGGTCTAAATGGATGGAAACCGTCTAGTTGACCGTTAGTCGACCAAAGAATGTGAACTTTGACAGATTTTGATCAAATTGAAATGGATAAAATGGTAATTTTACAATTACCACATTAAATAAATAAACAAAAAATTAGAAAAAGATAAAAAATGAAAAGGCTTCTCTTTCCAGCCAACAGTCTGATGGTTGGCACCACAACCATCTCCTCGTCGATGACTAACCACTATTGCTCACAGCAACCCTCACCCCCATCATCGACCTTATCGTTCCCCACCCAAATCCACAATTTTGCTTGTAGACCGCCACCATCACAGTCAGACGATCGACACAGCCAACACCATTACACATAACAGTAGCTCGTAAATCGCTAACACCATAATCAAACCAAAACCAACCACCAAAAAATATTTTTGTTGCTATACAACCCAACATACTTTTATGAGACTGATATTCCATGGCGGGTATGTGCTGTGAGGTGAATATTGGTGAGACAAAGACGACTAAACCTAGAAAGTAGAGTTCGAAATTCGGTAGGAGAAGAACGACAATTCACCAATTTAAGTTTCTATTCTCCAATTCCTCAGTGGATCCGTCGCTAGAGAACGATGAAAAGAAGTGGTACGAGATACAGGCAACTGTTTTGGTTTCACCTCCACGTGAGCTTCATTATGCCTCTCGGCTCATGCTGCTTAGTCTCTAGAACCGGCTTAGATGGGACTGCTAAGTTCATCGTGTGGTGGTGGCTGGTGATGGCTATAAGTAGCAAGTTTAGTTTGGGGATGGGTGGATTGGGACGTGGGTAAGATGTGGAAGAGATGATTTTTTATTTTTCTTTCTTTTCTCTTTTATTTTATTTTTTATTTTTAAATTATTTTTTATGTATATAATCGCAAATCTACCATTTTACTCATTTCAATTTGGTCAAAATCAGTCAAAGTTGACCTTCCTTGGTCAACTAATGGTCAACTGGATGATTTCCATCCATTTGA